GTTTGACCTTCAACCCTCAAGGTTAATCGGACTGAGGTGACCATCCTTTTTCAGGCTTCGGCGTGAGTTCTCTGTCTAGACAATGCATTTCCAGCAAGGGACGATACTCCGCCTTGCTGTCTACAGGGCAAAAATGAGGGGGGGAATGGTATTATTTCCTCAAGGTTGTTCGGTGGGATGGTTGACCGCAAATAGCATGTTCGGGGGGGTGAGCGAACTGATGCAGGAATGTGATATCACAAGGGAACTCACTCGTGCAGAGCGACTTCGGGGCAACTTGAGGGGAGGGAAAGGAGATATTATACAAGGGTTTCCAAGTGCGGCTTTACGATATAAGAAATTTTACAAAGTCCAGCCTCAGATCGTCACAATATGTTGCTGTGGCTGGTACAAGGCCATTCCTCTCTGAGATGTTGCTGTGGCTAGTACAAGACCATTCCTCTCTCTGATGGTTTACTAGTCCAGGCGTTGACAAGTACAAAAAAGAAAACAGAGAACACTAATAAATGAGCAAACAACTCCTCAGCAACAGTTATAGATGAAAGAGTATTGATGAATATACTATAACAAATACAGTAAAGTTTCTTCCCTAACTCTAACACTTGACTAACGGTCTATTACTGGTTCTATCAATGACTATGCGTCTACCACTTCACAATGACCGTCCAAGAATCTCTAACCCTTTCTATGTCACGAAGATTTCTATCTTATAATATACCATTCTCTACCTGCCAAAGTGGTCAAGGAATGCTTGCTATTAACCCATCAACACATACCCTCATTTCCGGTCAATAAGTAACTTCCGTAGTTAACTCCAAAATTAGCACGCGAAGTTTTGAAGGCCCTAAACATACTATTTTGGAAAGAAACATCCCCCCAATCTTAAAGATGCGAGAATCTATTAACCTTACCCCATGCGCCTAACAATGCCCTCCCCAAAATCCCAGCTATATCCGCCCACCCTATAAATTACCCCAAGAACAATGGAGCTCTGTAGTTAACCCCCCTCCCTAATCATTTGTGACAATGGAAAGACTATAATCAACAAAAGTCTCTTCTGCTTGGCCATAAAATCGGCAGTTTAGCTCCTTCGATCGTCGAGTCTGTGTAGGTAACTGCACGTCGCACAGTGTCCTTTTCTCATCTGAGTGATGAGACTCTGTTCTTCTCTCTTTAGGTTAGACCAGGGGTCATTCTTGCACGGTCGCGGCATTTTTCGGTGAAGCTGCCGTCCGGTATCTCCTGCGGCCCAACTGTTTAGCCACTTGTTCCGAAAGTGGTATTTTAGCCATGCGGTGACTCCCAGCTGAGTCATTGGCTTATCGGGTTGGGGTTGGGTCGCGCCTTCCTTGGCCAGGAAGACCGCCCTGTCGTGTTGCGTCACCTCAGCGTGTGAAGCGATGAACTGTACTATTACTTTGTCGCCTTTCGCTTGGATGCTACCAACTGTCTCCATAATGGCATTTACCATAGTGGTCTCCGTAGAGCCCCTCCCCACTTGCTCGAGAGCAGAGCTTGAGCCGGTGAAGACCACTATGTCCGGGAATTCTTTCCCTTTTCCTAGGCGTTGGTGGACCCTCCTGAGGGCAACAGTATGGCTTCGATCTCCGCATCGAGGCTCGTTCTGTTCGTCCCACTGGGGCTGAATAGTTCCTCGGGTGGAACTATCTATATGGGATACTGGATAATGTCACCATAATAAGTTCTTCCTTGGGGAAGCACGAGCCGTCTGTAAAGACTTTTAACGGACTTCCCGAGTACGCATTTATCGTTTTCTGCACTGCCTCTGATAGTTCTGTTTGTGGGCTAGCTTTTGCGATTCTAGCAGTCGTCATGGCTAGACGTATTTCATGTCTAGCAAGGCTTTCATGAGGGCCCCGTGCCGGGATCACCCTTACTTGAATCACCAAGTCTTCTTCAAGACTGTGGCGTTCTGGAACACACATTTCGTCGGTGGTAAGCATTTGTTCTTTTCTAGAAACCAGTAGAGTCATCCATTTACCATTCTTTCAGCTACTTGCCCCACACATGATGTTAGCGAAATTGGTCTGTAGCTGCTTGGTAAACGGCCTTGTTTCCCATCCTTTGGTACTGGGATTACTATGGCGTTTTTTCCACACTTTCGGCAGAGTAGTCCAGGTTCAGTTTATGAGAGCCAGCACTATCTCTCTCCCCTGTTTACCCAGATGGTTCAAAATCTCGTTGTGAACCTTATCAGGACCTAGTGATTTTGCATTCTTAAAACTATTTAGTGCGACGTGCAATTCTTCAATTTTGATGAGGGACATGAAAAGCTCTTGGTGGTAACCAATACGTAGGGAATGAGGTCCCCTTTTTCTGTGTCGTCAGATATTTCGGTGCTCGTCTTTCTCTCTGGCTTTCCTGTTCGCTTCAACGAAGTGCTTATTGAGCATCGCTGCTCTTTTTGCGTCGCTCGCCTCGACGCCTTTTTCGGTTTGTAGTGGTTGCTGCTTACCCACACCAAAGAGATTTCCGAGCCCATTCCATACATGCCACACGTTCTTGAGGTCGAGCTTCTCACATGCACTTACCCATTTTGATTTCTTTGCTTTTTGGACAACTGCCCGAAATTCAGCCGTAAGCTGGTTGTAACTTGCACGAGCAGCAGGAGTTTTCCTTTTCGCGGCTTGTATTCGGGCTTACACTCTTCGTTCCCCAGAGTCTTTAATTCCCTGTTCCAGTAGGGTCTGACTATTTTATTCCCGTTCGTTCTGGGGATCGTTCTTCGTGTGACATCCAGAATGGTTCCATTAAACCTCTCGAAGGCGGCATCGATATCGATCGATTCGTCATCTAGCAAACTGAGCTTGTTCTCCGTGTTCTTCTCGTACTCGACCCAATTGGCTTTCGGAATAGCCAATGCCACTTTTCACACCGGGCCTTATTCATACCAAAAAGCAATCTCTAATGGTATGGGAAAATGGCCGCAACCCATTTCTCCTAGGACCTCCAAATGCTGACTGGGAGCTTAGGTGCACTGAAATTAGAGTCAAGTCTGGCCGAGATTCCGTGCAGTGCCCGCTATGGATCAGAATGGGCGCACTCTCTCCGCCTTGTAATCTTATGAGATTCGTCTCAAGGCAGACGGGTATCTGTATTCGAGTAGTTCTTTCGTTCAATGAACTCCGCCGTAAGGTCATTTCTTACCGCTGTGGTAATACCCCGACATCTGCCACACTTGCAGTAGTAGAGCGAGGAACCAGTGATGTGAAACGGCTTGCCGTGCAGCAATGTTCCTTGGAATAGCGCCAAGTCCACTTCACGATCGTGGAGTATTTTTGTTGTTTCATGTGACTTCTGCCTGATCCCACACACATGCAACTGTAACACAACCAGGGATTGTTGGGGATGACCCTTTGCACCCTTCCGTTCACGACCAGATGCTTGTTGGCCTTGAGCACGCCTATCGCACGGCACATGCGCAAGCTGGACCTCTTTCCCTTGAGGACTTCCGGGGGGGGGGGGGATGAGGGGAGGGGCATGCCGTCCCAGCACCTCAACAGTTGCCCTACTCAGTCCCACCCCCCCTGTAGCGGGTATTAGGGTTTATAAAGGTTGCTTTGACCTGCATCAAAGAATTGATTGACATAGCCATAGAGTTTGGTTTTGGGCAGAAATCGTCCTCTCATTGATGAGGAGGCTTTGCGTCACCACCCCCTTGCCCAGTGAGTCATTCGGTCGGGAATTGACCGTGGCTGTGGGTGATGTGGTTCACCGTACTAGTCTGGCACGTCGCGTAGAGGCAAAACCCTTGTGGCAGCCGCCAAGTTTCTTTTACGGAGTTCCCGCTTTCGACTGAATGAAGAATGCGATGCAGCCTTACAACAAATAAAATTACAATTTCAACCATAAACCAATCTTAAGGGCAATTACATTTGACAAAAAAAATAATTATAGCAATAGGGGCATGTATGAGACAATCTAACAACAATATTTAGTAAGCGATAGTTCACCATTTCTAAATACATTAGTTTCGTTCTTGAAGTTTTTTTTTGTTTTTTGTTTATTAGAAAATCCTCTTCCCTAAGACATCACACTGTATTAGTTACATCACACTGTATTAGTTACATCAATCTGTTTTAGTTACATCAATCTGTTTTAGTTATATCAAATTATTTAATTTACACCATAATGTGTCAATTGATCAATTGTATATTCTAGTAATAAAAAATAAAAAAAATGAAAAAACAACCATCTTGTGAAACCATTCATCATACGCTTCTCTCCCCTGTTCAATCATTTTTTTTCTTGTTATTTTCATATTACTGTAAAACTTACATTTTAATTTACTAAACATTCCTAATGTGGTAACTTTCATGTTGATTGTCCAGCTGAACCCAAGATTGCAACAAGTTCTTTCACTCCACGATGTCTGAGTCGTTGTTTTTTTGTCGTCGGGAGATAAGTTACCTAAATGAGCACATGACATTCTAAAATGTAACAGATTTACCGTATTCTACCAGCCAGCTGTTTGTTCTCTACATGTCCAATCAAGCAATATTTTAATCTCTGTCCATTCGAGTTGCTTCCCATTTCTGTCAAATTCATCCACCGATCTCATCTCAGCAACTTTGTAAGTCAACCTTGGAAGATGAAAGTCATTCTCGTAACCCTCCTGTGTCTGGCTGTGGGTGAGTCATGAACTTATTTCTTTATAATTTGTAACTATTATTTTACACGAAAGTCAGGTCAAGGCTTCTTTGACTCCTTTAACATTGTAAATGTTTCTGACATTATTCTCTTTATGAAGCCTCCGCCGCCGTCCTTGACCTCAACAAGCAACGGCAACTTGGGGAATGTGTTGATCGTTGCACACCAGGGGTCGCTGATTCCGGATGTGCACACGGATTTATTTGTATTTCTATCGGTGGATGTGGACATGTTTGCCAAATTTTATTACGTAAGTTCTTTACGTTGGATCTTAGTTTGATGACAATTGAGATGAAATTGAAATGTCAAATTAACATTTTTAGATTCATTACTTGCCGAAATTTGTGTAAATGTGACCCCCCCCCCCCCCGGGGGGCGCCGTAAGCACACAGCGTTAACCCACGAACAGAACAAAAATCAAACACGGCGCGGAGCTTCGTTGTACGCGTTAGTTTTGGCGGTCCGGGATGTGGTCCCTGGCAGTGGTCCCTGGCAGTGGTCCCTGGCAGTGGTCCCTGGCAGTGGTCCCTGGCAGTGGTCCTTGGCAGTGGTCCCTGGCAGTGGTCCCTGGCAGTGGTCCCTGGCAGTGGTCCCTTGCATCTGACCCTGGCATTGGTCCCTGGCTGCTGTCCCTGGCAGCTGTCCCTGGCAGTGGTCTTTTGCTGTGGTCTCTGCCAGTGGTCCATGGCAGTCGTGCCTGGCAGTGGTCTCTGGCAGTGGTCCCTGGCAGTGGTCCCTGGCAGTGGTCCCTGGCAGTGGTCCCTGGCAGTGGTCCCTGGCAGTGGTCCCTGGCATCTTTCCCTGGAAGTGGTCCCTGGGATCTGTCCATGGCAGTGGTCCCTGGCAGTGGTCCCTGGCAGTTGTCCCTGGCATCTGTCCCTAGCTGGTAAACGTTTTCATACAAACATACGCATAATGTTATCATGAAACAAAATTGGACGATCATAGCGACACCACACTAGATACCACGCTAGATACCACGCTAGATACCACGCTAGATACCACGCTGGATACCACCCTAGCCTTCTTTCAGTTAAGCCAATCGCTTGACTCATTAAATGGGTTTAATATTAATTACTATTATTGATTTTGCGACAGGACTTAGAAATGATCCGCTCGCGCTAGCGCGCACACTCACACAGACACTCACACAGACACATACACACACTCATTCACCCAAGCACACGCGACCGCCCCCTCCACTTTCTCAATCCATGTACCCAACCATACACACACACACAAACACACAGACACACTTTGGCTATCATCCACCAGTCAGCATGTGCAATGAAATGTTAATTGTAAATAAAAATGTTATTGTTCTAACGTAAGATATGCATCTTGCTAACACAATTAATTGCACAAAGTGACAAGTAATTTTTTTTTTTAACACAGCTTTGCAGTTTCATTTAGGTCACATTTAGTTAAGCGCCAATTGCTGGTCAAATTGTCTATTATTATTTACTTAATTTAGGTCAAATGTACGCACAACTATGTAAACAGTATCTACTAGCCTTTTACATACAATTATTTTTTCCCAATTGTGTGGAATACATCTTATTATAGATGATGAGAAGATAACTCTGTTTATACCCGGTTCCTTTTTATTGCGTGACCGGGTGTTCACCAGGTGGGTAAATTTTTGGCATTTCCGGGTATCCGAGTCAGTATCTGGGTCACTATCTGGGTCAGTATCCGGGTCACTATTTGAGTCAGCATCCGGGTCAGTATCAGGGTCAGTATCCGATTAAGTCCAAGTTCATATCACAAAAATTGTTATTCTCCAAATAATGTGTAAAGACCACTGATATCAATCTTCTTTCTCCAGCTGGCAAGAGAGCCTCGTGTTTAGGGGCCATGTGCAACGTTTGGTGCCCCTTTGGACACAAGGTCAATGCTGACGGCTGTCCAGTGTGTGGCTGTAACGAGGCTCCTGTTGACATTCTTGTGTAAATCGCTCATTTGTTGACTTTATCAAACGAAAGTTAACATGTGTTACACGTCCTGTCAAATTATATTGGAGATGCAAATAAACAAAAAAAACGATCTTTCTAATTTCTTGACATGTCTGACATTGTGTTTGACACCCAGAACATAGTAATGACTCACGAATAAGTGTAACCATATGTTTGGCAAGCAGCATATTTACATAACTCATGGATACAAACTATAGGACCTGGCCTAAGATCCGGGATGTCTACCGGCCTCGCAATTATATAAATGAAAACGTTAGGTTTCTAGAATCGTGTGGCCTATGTGTCGGAGCTTTGATCTCCGACGAAGACAGGTCTGTCCGGACTAACAGGTCTGACCGAAAACATAAGTTTAAATGGACACACAGGTTTGACTGGACACACAGGTGTGACAAGACACACAGTTCTCAATGGACATGCAGGTCTGTTTAGACACAATCGACTTTTGAGTCATTAAATAGTTCTAAGAATTAACTAAATGAAAATGAAGCACAAAACATAACTTGACATTGGAGGCTGAACGAATTTGGGTTTGGGTTTCGGCGCCGAAAGTTTGGGTTTCGGCGCCGAAATTTGCCGCTTAATCAATTTTGACGTAGTTTCGGTTTTGTCCGAAACAGAAAAGTTAATTTCGGTTGATTTTTCGGCTAAGTCGAAATTGATTGAGGTCAGACTGTCTCTCCGTCTGTCTGTCTCCCGACAATCTGATAGTCATCGTTGCTTGACGTCTTGCTGTCATCATATGATAGGACTAATCCTCTGGGAACACTGCTCACAGCTGCATGATGACCTATAGGACTAATCCTCTGAGAACACTGCTCACAGCAGCTGCATGATGACCTAGTTGTCCAATATTTATAAAAACAAACTTGCAATTGGGCTTAGGCAAATGTAAATAGTTTTGTGAGGAAAAAAAACAACAACTAAGGGAATGGTAATAGTTAAATTATCATCTTTGGGAACCCTGGGTTAATTCAATTCACTCATTTGTGACAATCTTTTGGGGTGATTGTTATCATGAGCATAAGCGTTGCCATAGGCGACGGTGATTAAACAGGGGAATAAAAAAAAAACATTCCTGGGAACGAAAATGTTTGATCAATATTTTTGTTTAAAATGTTAAGAATAAAAAATTGGAAACCTGGGCTGTATCAATTCATTCCTTCGTTGAAATTTAAGAATATCATGCTCATAAACGTTGTCATTGACAACGAAAAAAAAAAAAGTTAAAATATCCCAGAAAATCGGTCGCGTGTATTGACACACATGAAAAGAAAAAGTATAATGAAACCTTTCATTATATTAAAAAAATAATTATTTATTTCAAATTGTGTATAGTTAAGCATAAAATAGACTTTAATTAAATTTAAGCCTACAGACGTGTGCATGTAGCACTGTTTCATATAATCAAAAGGTAGTAGGCCTTCTGTATTATCATTATCTTACTGAACGGAGCTCAACATTTGTTCAACTTTTGTTTATTCTTGGATCAAATCTAAAATTAGCCGACCAATGATAATTTCGGCTAAACTAAGAAATTGTCATAAATGAGAACGCGTGTTTCAATGAGAATATTTGGGTGAGCGGAAGAAAGAGTTCCTTCAAGGCTTATGTCTGGACATTTTAGTGAGCAATACCCTTAAACAATAGATAGCCTAAACTTTCGATCGATACCAATAATGTCAAGGCTCTGTTGGAATTATATTACGAAGGTAAAGGTCGACGAAGAGTCTATTTTGCATGAATTTTGCCTCTCACCCTCATCAAAATTTTCACTTCCTATACTTCATAAAAGTCTATTTTTTACAATTTTTAAAAATTAATTTTTAATGCAAATAGTAAAAGTATAAAGTAATCATTAAATGTTTATCCATTAAAATTTAAGATAATCTCACTTTGATCAAAAGAACATAAATATATATACTTTCACCCACCCATTTTTGATGTGCGCAGAACTACTGCGCAAACTTGTTGGGAAATATCTTGACATGTTGCCCGATGGAATGCCTTTTTTAGGCTACAGGCTATGCTTAATCATAAGGAACACTTCAATCATTTACAAAATGACCTATTCAAGCACATACAAACACTACAAGCATTTACAAACCAGACCTATTCAGGCACATACAGACATTACAAACATTTACAAACCTGACCTATTCGAGAACATACAGACATTACAAACATTTACAAACCTGACCTATTCGAGCACATACAGACATTACAAACATTTACAAACCTGACCTATTCGAGCACATACAGACATTACAAACATTTACAAACCTGACCTATTCGAGCACATACAAACACTAGAAACGTTACCAACGTGACGTAATAAAAGACACATGAACACCACAAACATTTACAAACATGACACAATTGAATAGATCGCACCAAGATATCACACATGTTTACACACGTGAGGTAATCATGCACAAACAAAAATACAAACGCTTGAAAACATAAGGTTATCAAACACAAACACACTCAATATGTAATAGTCTATGTCATATTAAGATGGCTGACATAAACATTCGGCATAAGTGGTCAGTAAAAAATAATAGACTGGTCAGCAATGAAGTCAAATAATCAGTAACAAATAATAAACTTGTCAGCAGTGAAGTCTAGTGGTCAGTAACAAATTCTAAAAGTGGTCACCAATGAAGTCAAGTTGTCAGTGAAAAATTACAAACTGGTCAGAAATTCAGTCAAGTAAGTGGTCAAAGAAAATAAATAGGCTAGTCAGAAATGAGGTCCAATGGTTACCTTCATATACTCGACCGTTCTGTAGATGAGCCAAGTTCGCTCCGATCAAAGGATTACCAATAGACGTTGACCATAACAAGGTTTAGAGGAAACTATTGACAAACTATCTGCGTGTCATTAGGAAAGAGTTATGGCTTGTGTCGGACAACAAAGAAAACTATGACGCATTTAAGTCATGTATCTACTTGTCTGGATTTCTTCATTGACTGATCAGCAAAGATCACTTAGATAAACATCTTGGAAGGCATTTGCTTCTTATCTCTGTCAGTTAAGTTCAAAGAAGCTATTTAAAAGAAAAAAAAGGGCAACTTAAACAAAGATCAGATGAAAACCGTAGGGTTTATACTGATTTTGACTTTTGGTAAGTGCTTGACTTTTTGGTATGTGCTTGACTTTTGTTAAGTGCTTGACCTTTGGTAAGTGCTTGGCTTTTGGTATGTGTTTGACTTTTGGTATGTGCTTAACTTTTTTTATGTGATTATTTGGTATGTGCTTGACTTTTGATAAGTTCTTGATTTTAAGTAAATGCTTGGCTTTTTGGTATGTGCTTGACTTTTGGTATGTGCTTGACTTTTGTTAAGTGCTTGACATTTGGTATATGGTTGACTTTTGATATGTGCTTGACTTTCTTAACTTCCGATTAATAAAAAAAAAATAAACATGTCTAGTGCTCGGTGTTCAGTGTTGTATAACGATCACTTGCTTCCTCCCAATGTACAACTGTCAACTAATATTTTATAACCTTACAACATGTCTATCCACTAGTATTATAGGATAAATATTTATTTTAGGTATTAATATTTCGAAGTTTACCTATAAAAAAATAATAAGTGTATACATTTCTAACTAAACTTAACATGGCATTTTGACATCCCTATTGTAAGTTCAGACCTAAAAAGGAATTGATGTGAAAAGTCTTAAGAATCACATTATTTGTTTGATTTTAAATTTGACAAATTCTACATTTCACTCCATTAATTCAGTACATCAGATGTCACAAATGACACTAAGTAAAAATTATAATTTGAATTAAATAATTAAGTTAATAGGTCTTTAATAAATTTGTCAAAATAAGTTTTCAAAATTGAACTTATGATTATAGTTGACTTAAGTAGTATTTAATTATTTCTGTACAGCGTCTGTGGTCGTTCAAGGTGCAGATCTCAGACGTCAGAAGTATTTCGAATGCCTAACTCCATGTACACCTGGTGACCCAAGTAATGTTTTCCCCGCAGGATATGGCTGTGCTTACGGGAAAGGCTGCAACACTGAATGTATCCTGCTGCTGGGGGGTAACCCTTGCTCTACATACGTCACACTTAACTTCTACTCTCTCAACAGTTTAAAATATTGTTTCACATCGTCGTAGAGATTATTCATAGAGCTTATTTTTTTTATTGTTTTTAAATCAACTTAATATGCCTTTTTAATGATTGGTTCAATTTGATTTGAGTGTGTCTGATTGTTTCAAATTTTGAATTGAATATTTCGTGATTGGTTCTGTTTGATTCGAGCGTTGTCTCATTTTTTCAATAAGGCTGGAGTATTGTCTGATTGGAGCAATTATTTGACTTGAGTGTTGTCTGACTGCTGAAATTTTTGACTTGAGTATTGTTTCAATGGTTCAATACGACTCTAGTTTTTATGCCTGGTTCAACTTGACTTGAGCGTTGTCTGAGTGGTTCAACTTATTTAGATAAAGTTTGAGAAAGTGTTGATGGACTTGGGTAATCCAAATTCAATAATTTTCTCGCTGAGTGAATAGTTATAACCAGATAGCTGTTTATGGAATTATATATTTGAATGATTTTTTTTTCTTTTATTCTCTTGAAATGTATAATCATTAAATTTCATCTTGGTAAATCCAAGTAGATAATATGTTTAGCTCCAATCAGTCATATGGGATATTAGCTCTAACCAATGATATGTGATATTAGCTGTAACCAATGACATGTGATGTTAGCTCTAACGAATGATATGTGATATAAGCTCTAACTAATAATATGTGATATTAGCCCTTACCAAACGTAAGAGAAATTAGTACTAGGCCATGATATGAGATATTAACTCTAATAAGTCGAATTCGAACATCACTATTTAAACTAACTTCGTTGATCAGACTATTCAACTCGTAAAACTAACTTCGGACTTTTCAATTTCCTAACTTTAAAAAAATTATTTCCAGTGTCAGCGTGTTTCCTGGTAAAGAAATGAAATTCCCTGTTTCTATTAGATCTAATCTTTATTTTATTGATTTAGTTTTAGATTCACCGCTAAAACCACGAATAACTCATGCATAAATGTTTAAGCAGGCCTATCAATTTATGAATATAACGATTTTTATGTGTCAAAAGATTGAAGAACATTCTCATAGTCTGTTCAGAAATAGTGTTTTAAATCTTGCCTATATTGCCTATATTACCTACGATCACAACTCTCCCTATTACTAACATGAAACGTTGTTGTTGGTCATTTAGGTATCATCGGGAAAAGACTTGACCAGCTGGTCCCAGAACGGCTCATTGGAAGACACTTGTGACACACTGCTCTGATGAAGTCACATTGAACAGATCCAGTCCATGTGACTAGACTGACAACTTTAAGATAAATTAATCTCTTAATGTCTCGTTGTGTCTCGTAGTGTCTATTTGAAGTATTTGAACCCCATTCTATCTGTTTAAAAATACATTTAAAAATACAATTAATTAAAAAAAGTTTGTGGTTTGAACTTATTGAGTTCGTTGAAATCGTAATTGAACCGAGTAAAGGACACGTCACTATTTGGATGCTTTATACAGAGCGCTTCTTAGGCATAGCCCAACTAGGAGACCGCCTAGTGCCCCATAAAAGGGGGCCTGCGGGGCGAATACAAATTTTTTTTTTTAGCCTACAACTTCCTATTCCCTATATTTCAGAAGTACAAGTATTAAATGGTTGAAATGGCTAGAAAGACTTTGAGATTGTATGCTTGTAATTAGTTTTTGTAGTGTTGCGTTTGTTTTAAATGTGGTTAATTATAGATATGTTTTTTGTTGACTTTGTACCGCGCTTCGAGCCTTTGGGGATGAAGCGTGTTTTTGAAATGAACTTAATTATTATTATTATTATTAAACATTACATGAAGATGAACCTGCATTATCCGACATCGCCGAAATTTGTTATCTCGTTGGGAAAAAGTGGATGTCAAAAAATTATTTCTGATGCCGGGAAGGTAGAGTCCGGAAACTGATATCGGCAAAGAGATAGTGTCGGAAATGTTACACGTCAACGAGGTGTTGTCAAGAGAACACAAATTGGGAGGGGGGAGGTGTCGGTAAGACAGTGTCAAAGAAAGGAGGTAGTTGGATCTAAATATATCGTCTGTGGTCTATTTCGTAACTTCACAATTCTGTTTTCTCCTCCGCTCCGGGGGAGCTCCGCCCCCGGACCCCCTCTTTCGGAACCCCTTACCTACGCTCGATGCCTAGGGCCCCCAAAATTCTAAGAACGGCTCTGATTTAATTCAAGTATTGCTATGCAGATGTCTGTTTGTGTTAAAATAAAACTGTATTTATTTATATATGCATTCCTAAGCTGTCTGTTGTAGCTGTATTGCTAAAGCTGTCCATAGTAGCTGTATTGCTAAAGCTGTCCATAGTAGCTGTATTGCTAAAGCTGTCCATAGTAGCTGTATTGCTAAAGCTGTCCATAGTAGCTGTATTGCTAACGCTGTCTATCGTAGCCTCTCGATGCCAGTAAAAAAAAAAAAAACTGAATTGTTTCTATATCATCAAGTAATTTTTTTTTATTAAAATGGTAAAGTAAAAAAAAAAACCTGACCTATTTGTTTTTAAATATTTGACCTTGACCTTGTTTCGTCTATATGTAATGTAATTAATTTAAGATAAGAAAGCTAAATAAAGAAGCTCACAGAGTTTTATAATCTTATTTTGATTAGTGACGCGATAAACAGAAATATATTGATACCGATTTAATAAAGAAGAAACAATGAAAGTTGATTGCGTTTAAAACAGTAAAATAAAATTGTTTGCAAATATTTATTGTAAGCTGAGCCTGATGTAGGGTCCTGTTAGGGGAGATCCCTCGCATGTCCTGGTCAGCACAGTTTCGGTCACGTGACACATTCAGTTTACAATGTACCAAGTAGTCCTGGACGAGAATGGTTGGACATTCAAATCATAAAACAGTAGGGTCATTAAGATCAATGAAATAAATGCATTTGTTCCGCAAGTCGAACACACTCATTTTAGATAAGATCAACTTCACCCTTGATTAGTTTGAGTAACGATGGAATGCATAAAATTCGCAGTTGCTTTAACAAAGTTAAGATATTTACAGTTACTGTAACTGGTATAATATGTACAGTTACGGTAAAAAATGTTAATAAATACAGTTAAGGTAACAATTACTAATTTTTAGATTATAAAATATTAAATATATGAGTGTTTGTCATCTTTTGGCGGAGATCTATGAATAGAAAATCCGGATATTCCGTTTGGCCAATCTCTCAACAGCCGCTTAACTCTACTATGTCAAGTCAGTCAGCCTGGTGGATGTTAACCCAGAAGAAACCGGTTTAAAACTTGATTTCCCTAAAGATTTTACAAAAAAATGTCGCTGCAAAGTGTATGCTAAAATACATTGTTGGGAGCCATGTTTTACGAAAACCTTATCTAAGAAATAGTAACATTACGTCATGCGATGTGACGTTTTCCAGTCCTAGACATGAGACACCTTATACAACCAGCAGATTTCTTGTATCGATTTCAAGAGCTCACCTGTAACTGGGAGGCAGGTGTGGCACAGCCCGTCAAACACACAGACTGACCCAGGGTTACAGGATCCGAAACCAAGCTGTCTGAGCAGCATGTCTGCATTGCATGGTCTCAGGCAGGCTATCTGACGTTCAGTCACTGTGTGGAGTCATCAAGTACAAGTAGTTACAAGAAGTCATGTGCTTAACTCTACTGAGTTGATCAAATCTGATCACTAAAACTGTCTATTTAACAATAATTGTCCAGATATAATTCATATTTATAGTCAAGTCCCTTCGACTCAATAACAAACATCACGTCCATGGTTCTTGACATTCTTATATTACAATGAGCTTCCATGACTTCATTAGTTACAAGACTTGTTTTCGATGACTGCTCATTTGAGTTATTAAAAAATAATTTTATCTCAAGGAAGACTATGTGCATGAAATAATTTTTTGGGTAAAATATTAGCTTTTTATTGTATCTGAAATGAAAACGAACACGTACAAGTTATCATTAATTTAAAGTTCTAAATTTTAATCTATATGTTGGATGTCGAAAATTACGCCAATATTTAACAGAGATAGTTGGCTCACTCACAGATTGGCAAGCATTTTTGTGAGCATCCGATCTGGGAACATTCCATGCCTAAAGGACACGTGTCCATGTCCACCTGGTCACTGGGATGGCATTCCTGTACACAATCTTCCAGAGCAGCTTTGGTCACTGCAAAGGAGAAAGTCAGTGTGAGGCTGTCAAAACTTCTGTTTGTTTCATTTCCAAAACATTCTTACTGCCGCTGATAAGTTATTAGTTTTATTTTCTGCTTTTCATTCTTCTTTGTTGTTCATTTAGATAAATAGTCAATATATTTTCTAAATTAATTGAATTAAAATGTGTAGGTATTTCAAAAGGTGTTACTTTTAATTTGTACTATTTTTCCCATGTGCAAAAATAACCTAATATTTATTAGTATGTAGCAGAGAGTATTTTAGTTTGGATAAAAAACAGACTTTGTTTAAAAGATGTCCATTAAAAACATAAAGTTGGTAGTAAAATTCATGATAGAACCCCCAGAATTGTAGATGACCAGGTACCCCAAAGCACACCTTATTTGCACGCCCCTGAACTATGACAAGGTGTTAATTCTAATCGAATGTTTACCGTCCTTACACACAACAATGAACTGTAGTTTATTAAAATGTTACAACACTTTTTCCGTATATTTAAATAATATTATAGCATTCAGCAGATAATATTGTGTTGAAAAAACGTATTTTAAATAGCTTTTTCAAGCACACTGTTCTGTGAACGATGACTAAAGCTTTGCTTCAAATGCGTGCACCAAAAATAACAACTTTTGAACGTCCTACCAAGTCATTTGAAAATACTATTATTGTTCTCATTACTCTCATCATTTTAGAATTTTATAAATCCCAGCATTTTAAGCAGAATCATTAAAGGAAAAACTAGTTATTCTGTAATGAGTTTATTACCTATGTGTTTTTTTTTAAACAATAAACATAATAGTGTTTTGCTAACTGGTATTTGGACAGTATGCACAATCAGCCTACCGTGGACAGTATGCACAACCAGCCTACCGTGGACAGTATGCACAATCAGCCTACAGTGGACAGTATGCACAATCAGCCTACCGTGGACAGTATGCACAATCAGCCTACAGTGGACAGTATGCACAATCAGCCTACCGTGGACAGTATGCACAATCAGCCTACCGTGGACAGTATGCACAATCAGCCTACCATGGACATTATGCACAATCAGCCTACCGTGAACAGTATGCACAATCAGCCTACCATGGACAGTATGCACAATCAGCCTACCATGGACAGTATGCACAATCAGCCTACCATGGACAGTATGCACAATCAGCCTACCGTGGACAGTATGCACAATCAGCCTACCGTGGACAGTATGCACAATCAGCCTACCGTGGACAGTATGCACAATCAGCCTACCGTGGACAGTATGCACAATCAGCCTACCATGAACAGTATGCACAATCAGCCTACCATGGACAGTATCCACAATCAGCCTACCATGGACAGTATGCACAATCAGCCTACCATGGACAGTATGCACAATCAGCCTACCATGGACAGTATGCACAATCAGCCTACCATGGACAGTATGCACAATCAGCCTACCGTGGACAGTATGCACAATCAGCCTACCATGGACAGTATGCACAATCAGCCTACCATGGACAGTATGCACAATCAGCCTACCATGGACAGTATGCACAATCAGCCTACCATGGACAGTATGCACAATCAGCCTACCGATGACATTTTTTTCTCCAGCCTTTAGATCAACATTTTTTAAAAATTGAACTTTCTACTTTTCTTCCATGGCGCCCACATGCAATGCTTTATTTACTGGGCGCCCCAAGTGACCCATGGCCATGGCGCCCTGTGCCCAGGCACATCTCTCACACCCTAAAGGCTGGTGTTGCCAGCAACCATCTTTAGCTCAGGAGAAACGATCATGTCAACCATGGTTGCCATCAATGGTTGATATTCTGATCGACCCATTAACAAACATGTTCACACTGAGCTTTATATAGCAGATAGCTTCAACCTGAACGCAGCCTTCCCATGTGACAAACTTTGGCCGACTGGCAATGTCTTAATGAATCTCAAATGTCCAGTTGACTCTACCGCATGTTCTATTTTTATTGGTTAGTTACTTGTTTTAATCTATTGTCAAATCGATGTCACCGAATTTATTATTTATAATGACCAAAGAAATATTTAGCAACTGCTGTAAAATGTGTCTTTTCTATATTAATTTTGTATAACAGATTTTTATTTATCTTTTATATTGCAAACTTTTCTTGTTCCCGAGGAACATGTCTGTCAATACATTTCCTATTTGATGAACAATGAAAACGCCATTCATCTGTGACGCAATAGGTTGAATGTCACAATCAACACTAACAAATTTACAACATAAATTATTTTTTAAATGTTACAAATTCAAGGAGTAAATAAATGTAAAAAAAATTCGACCCTTATCTTACCTCCTAGTATAGCCAGAACAAGGACTACACAGGCCGTCTTCATTGTTGCTTGTTGCTCGAAATCTCAACAATGTGGGAAAACAGCAGACAGTTGAAGTTATGAACACGATAGTTTGGTATCTGATGACGTAGTGGAACCTGGGACGGTCTAAATATGAAAAGTGAGATAGGCTCATGATGACAAGAACCTGGAACGGTCTAAAGCTGAAAAGTGAATTAGGCCCATGATGACAAGAACCTGGGACGGTCTAAAGCTGAAAAGTGAGTTAGGTTCATGATGACAAGAACCTGGGACGGTCTTTAGCTGAAAAGTGAGATAGGCTCATGATGACAAGAACCTGGGACGGTCTAAAGCTGAAAAGTGAAATAGGTTCATGATGACAAGAACCTGGGACGGTCTATAGCTGAAAAGTGAGATAGGCTCATGATGACAAGAACCTGGGACGGTCTTTAGCTGAAAAGTGAGATAGGCTCATGATGACAAGAACCTGGGACGGTC